TCCACCCTCTTCCTCCTCCTCAGTCCCAGGCACACACCCTAACAGCTGACTACCCACCCTCCTCCTCCTCAGTCCCAGGCAAAACTGTGAGGGACTCCACATCTGGCATCAGTTCATCTCCACCAGCCACATACATGATGTGAGGGAAACACTGGCCCAGAACTTGAAAGGAATGCTGCTCTTCCTGGAAATATAAACATACTGAATAAGATTTCGAATGAATAAAACTATATCCTAGGTGAAAGACTTTATAATGTCAACACAGTGAGTCCACAAATTTTTTTATGAAAGTGCACAACAGAAATGTCTGAAACTGAAAGAAGGGTACCTTATAAAAAAGAAACATTGTCTAAAGAAGCCTTACAAATTACTGTACACATAACAAGCCAATTACAAGTGAACATACACACATGCATGCACACACATGCACACACACACACAAACACACACACTTCAGGTAAAGCAAAGATAAAATTATATAAGACACTTTGCTATCTACAAGAGGAGACCAGCCTTAATTACCATTCCAAACAGCTGTATCCTAACTGTGTCGAAGTAGTTCACACTGGCATGGTCTGGGGCGTATGTCATCATGATCTCAGTGCTGCTGCCAGGGGCGATGGTCCCCTCACATGGCACGCAGTCAAACACTCGCTGGCCATTGAAGTTTTGGACACCTGTCAAGGCAAACAAATAACAAGGCTGAAATTTGAGAACTCTTGGCAAATTTTAAGTAACAAAATAGGAGATTGTGATGTGGAGTTGTCGTATGACAACTACTTCCTACCAAGTAGTCAGTGAATAAAACTGTTACAGTAGTTGTTGTAAGAAACTTAACATACTTGTATAATAACTTTTACACAGAGTTTGCAAAGTTTTATCCCATTACTTAAAAATGTTCATGGTATGATTAACTTAACATTAGCAACAACAACCACGTGAAAAATTCATTAAAAAAAAAACACAGCTATAAGATGACAATGCAGATAGTAATACACATATGTTGCACTTTACTTAATGTCCATTAATTATAAAGCTTTAAATTATTAAGCTTTGGAAAATTTTGCTTGGGGTAGCCATTTTTAATTCCAGATCCATTTTGAAAGTAGGAGTAACAGAAAGTAGCTTTTTAATTAAAGATACAATTCTACATACCAACTTTCACTTTCTGTGTCTGGTCCCTGCGTACAAACTGTGGTATGCCCTGAGTAAGGGCATGTCGCAGCAGAGAGTTGCTGTCCATTTTGATTGAGAAGTCTATAGCCAGGGTGGATGTGTTCTTGATCTGTAGTAGGTAACAATACAAACAATTATAGTCACTACTTGGATACTTTTGGTCTAATGTATGACATACTGATATTGCAAGCAAGTCAAAAACCAGCTGTTTTTCATAACATAAGATTAAAAAAACTGTGACAAACTTAATCAAATTACTAAGTTTTGTCGTATTTCTGATTATAACAAGTGAATTGGTTTGTATTCACATATCACACCATTTCATGAATCAAAATTACATTATGACAACACACTTCTTAACAGATGAGTTTAAGAAAACAACTTTTTCATCCACTTCCAGCGTAATTGCTGAAAAAAGATCCCCAAATCACTCCTTTTGTAGTCTGCCTTCAAAACCAAGTTGATAGACAGACTAACTGATTCTTGGATCAAATATGGCGCGAACCACTTGAAAGCATGCCTCATAATCCCCTTATAATTTTAAGGGATTATGCAACATGCTTTCAAATGCACACCAAATTAAATACATCGATCAGTTAGCCCGCGAATCAACTTGGTTATGACAGTGCCAAATTCATTAAAAGGAAAGACAATCTCTACCACCTGTTACAGGGTAAATTCAACAGTCAATCACACCCATACCTTGAAGGTCTTCTCCACATACTCATTCTCTAGCACAGCTCCCATGTCCAAGTGGTCTGTGTCCAGAGAGAGGCTGACCTTAGGACTGACCCCCTGACCAACCAGGTTGAGGTACAGTGTGGAGATGCCTGTCCTCAGCTCCTGGACCTCCTGGTACTGAGATAGAATAATAATAATAATAATAATAATAATAATAATAATAATAATAATAATAACCAAAACAGTTGTTGAAAGTAAAACATGAACAAAATCATAAAGAAAAATCTAAAAAATGTGGTTTTAGCTCTATTTTAAAAATGAATCCAGCGTTTCTTTTTGTCTTATGTAAATCCACAACTTATTCCACTCATACAGAGAGGTACTGCAGGTATAAACATGCACTATAGCAATTTACTGAGCAATATAAATATATACATTTTAATTACACAGACTGAATTGTCAGGCTTTGTTTCAAATTGCTAAGATTTGCCCCCTCTCTCTCTCTCTCTCTCTCTCTCTCTCTCTCTCTCTCTCTCTCTCTCTCTGTACTCACCACTCTGCCAGTACCAGGGGTAAAGCTGAAGATAACAGTGAGTGACTCCTCAGGCTCCAGCTCTCTGAGAGCGTTCAGAAGAACAAACGGTCCCACTGGATCCAGGAGAGAGGCTGTGACCTACAGGAAACACCGTGCATGATGGGATATAGGTACACAAATTTGCTTATTGTATATGTTCACTTTTAATATTTTAATAGTTTTGCACTAACTAATGTATCTCAAAAAATGAAAAGATCAATAAATGGTCTATGTCAAATGTAAAAATGGAATATTTTAATAATTTTGCGTTAATATATGTTTATGTACATCAAAGAATAAAAATATTGCTAATTTAAAAATTCATTGACAACCTATTTGTCTTAGCTGTTTAAAAGCAGTACTGTTCTATCATATCTGTCTCCAGCAACTTACATTAATGTTATCCTCAAATATGTTCTGAATGGTGGCTGTCTTGATGACCGTCTGGCCAATGGAGACATCACCAAAGTCCACTGTGGTCCGGCCATTGTCTGAGATGACCACCAGAGGGGGTTTGACCGTGGGGCAGTGCACTTCCAGGTACAGGGTGTTGTGGATGCTGAAGGTCAAATTAATGATAACAAGGTCTGGCACAAAGAACAGTGGTCGTAATATATCAAATATCATTATATTAAAATAAAATAATGATAATTATAATGATATCAAATATTATATATTATATATATTATAATGATATCAAATATTAAGTATCATTATATTAAAATAAAATAATGATAATTATAATGATATCAAATATCATTATAATTATCGTTATTTTATTTTGATATAATGATACTTAATATACATCTCCCCTCCAAAAAAAAAAAAAGGGAAAAAAAGTCCCCAAGCAAATCTTCATTAAAAAATAATTCTGAGTTTACCATATTATCTATTAACTCAAGTGTATTCAAAGAAGGCATGCAATACATGCATGCTATGAGTGCATTCAGAGCAGCAGACTCACAGATCAAATATGGCCGACCCACTTGAAAGCTAAATCCCCGTGGGGAATCTATACAGTGTCTTATCAGCAATTAAGCAGCAAGCGTTTTAGGGGGTCACCATATTTGATCCACGGATCTGTCAGTCTGCTGTTCTGAATGCGGTCTATGATTCTCACTCAGTTACCTGTAAGGCAGTTCCCCAGGGTTTCCAGTCTTTCCCGAGGCCACATAGCAAGGGATGACATAGCTGTTGAACTCTGACTTGAAGGTTCTCAGCAGAGATGCCTGGGCCTGTGCATATGCATCAGATCTGAAATTATATCATATGATACATAAATAACTTGCCATTCTTGTATAACACAAAAGACAGAATACCATTAACATGATTGGCATATTAAGCCCACTGCAATTATTTCAGTGCCTGTTTCACTTAAGGACCATTCCCAGGCCCTATCATCTAACTGTTGATCAATCTATCTCCGAGGAGATTCTTGCTAAATTGCTATCAACTTAAGCGGCTTAAATGTCTGCCACGCCTACTCAAGCTTCTAGGGGGTAATTATCATTTAGCAGCTTTAGTAAGCGTGCCAGACATCTAAGCTGCTTAAGCTAAAATCAATTTAGCAAGAAACCCCTTGGAGATGGTTCAATCCTGTTAGATCGATCCAGGTATGGAACCCAGTCTTATACTGCTTAAAGTACTTGTACTTACTTGGTGTCTATACTCTCTTTAGGTACTTACTTGGTGTCTATACTCTCTGGAGGTACATGAGGTCTATACTCTCTGGAGGTACTTACGCGGTGTCTATACTCTCTTTAGGTACTTACTTGGTGTCTATACTCTCTGGAGGTACGTACTTGGTGTCTATACTCTCTTGAGGTACTTACTTGGTGTCTATACTCTCTTGAGGTGCTTGGTGTCTATACTCTCTGGAGGTACTTACTTGGTGTCTATACTCGCTTTAAGTACTTACTTGGTATCTATACTCACTGGAGGTACTTACTTGGTGTCTATACTCTCTTTAGGTACTTACTTGGTGTCTATACTCTCTAGAGGTACTTACTTGGTGTCTATACTCTCTTTTACTACTTACTTGGTATCTATACTCTCTTTAAGTACTTACTTGGTGTCTATACTCTCTGGAGGTGGGGCTTTGACAGGGGCTGGTCCACTGGGCACCGTCTCCCCCATCAAGGGAGCCCCACCCTTTGGCTTGCCTTTAGGGGAAGGCTTGCCTTTGCCAGCAGGACCTTTCTTTTTCTGTAATACAGATAAAATAGAAGAATTTCAATCATTTTCCTTTTCCTTATCATTTATGATTTTCCTAAAGCATTTCAAATTGAAATTCTCAAAATCTTGGAAATATGCTAAAACCACTTTTCCCTATTGGATATCTTTTTCCACTAGCGTTTTTTGTTCTAAAAACATAAAATTCATATAGTGATGGGTCTATCTTTTCTAGCAGATGAAATGACACATGATAGTTTTCCACTTAAACAAAGGCAGGCACCTTTAAGTAAGCTAAATATCAGGCCAGCAAATTTAATGCAATATTGATGCAATATGTAATTTTTTCATGCAAATTTACATCAAATTTGCTGCAATATTGCTGCAAATTGGCAGTAAAAAAATTTTTTCTTGCAAAACCCTGCAAACTTGTTCTTGCAAAATTTTAGTTTGCAGCAAGATTGCTGCAAACTTTTCACTTTGCTAAGGGCAATGAAACAGTAAATTTGTATATATCTATTCTTTTAAGAATAGTATGCCTCTGTGACAATAACATGTTAATGACTCTGGCACTTCACTCCCTAGAGATCTAGAATACATAAGAAATTATCTAGTCTAATATTATAATGCTACAATGACAGTTTCATACCATCACATCCCACATGTGCTACTGTTTGTATGTTACAGATTCACATAGGAGAACAGATTGCACATGGGGGTCCACTTTACATAGCACAGGGTGTTTGTTAAGTCTGGACACATTGAAAAATATGCATGTTTACAGTTTAATTTTTATCTACTTTTAATATTGATACAATATACTGCACTCAAAGATGAAATAAAATTAATATCAATATAAATAATGATGAAACAATATATGTTGACTCCTTAGGACCAAAAGAAAGTTAGTTAATTATACATATCATATATATTTATATTTTAGGACTTTTTCTAAGGGGTCCAGACTTAAGGAACCCCCAGTGCAATAATGCCATCACCAATAACAGCAGGTATTAACCAATGTGCAATAACCACTATCACAACACGTTTCTTAACAACAGGTTTTAAAGAACTGCTGAAAGGTTGTAGGGTGTGGTCAAAAATTGATAAAAATCAAAATCAAAATAACGTTGTAACTCCCACATCAACATCATCAGGAGGTGTTCACTGTGCTTGGAGAAGTCAAACGTCACTCTTCTTGTCTCAGTTTCACAGCATGCTGTCCACGCAGAAGTATCATTTTCTGATTTGAGAAAGACATTTTAAATGATAATAGAGACAAAAGTAAGAAATCATCCACCGCCCAAAAACAAAAATTAACTAAAATAAAGTAAATAAGAAATAGAAAAGTAGGGTCATAATAAACAAAATGGTAACTGCTATTCACTCAGGTAAAATCAGAGAGTTGTGCAGAGAAATGGAACTGCAATCTGTGGATCAACATGGCTACATCCTTACCCTTTTCTGAAGATGATGAACAAAGCGGAGAATTAATACCAATAATCAATATATCAAATAACTGCAAAGAATACTTTCCTCCTCATTCCACTTGATACAAATAATCATATTCAATAGCATTCTTAATTTAAATGACAATTTGTTAAATTCACCAATTTTGGTGAACCACAAAAATAAAAACAAAGCATTTTATTTTACTTACTGTAAAATAATTACAAACTTATTAATTCAAAGTAATATTTTGCCTGTAACCAGTCTGGCATACCAATATCATTCAACAGTATCACTTACAATGAATTACCAAACACCAAAATCTCCTTCAAACACTGAAACAGTCTTCAAAATACTAGACAAGTACTAGTACATTTTTAAACTAAAACAGAAATATAAGGTGAAATACTGCTTTCAACAAATACTAATCTGATGGAGTCTACATATAAGCATGGGAAGCCAGCATGGAAAAATACAGTGACAAGTCTGGGTACATCTGCAATGATATGCACCATAAGACTGGGTTCCCATACCTAGATAGATCTAACAGGATCGATCCATCTCGAAGTGGTTTCTTGCTAAATTGCTTTCAGCTTAAGCGGCTTAGATGTCTGCCTACTGAAGCTGCTAAATGATTATAGGTGACCTAAGTCCATGAGATGGGTACGGGGGCCCTTACCGTCTAGGAGGAGAAGCGGTAACGGTAGCCGTCCGGTGGAGCCGGCGGAGCCGGCGGAGCCGGCGGAGCTGGCGGAGCCGGCGGAGCCGGCGGAACGATCCGGACGGGACCGAAACCATGTGTACCGCCAGCGCTAACGCTGGTGGTACAATTAATTACCCCCTAACAGCTTCAGTAGGTGTGACAGACATCTAAGCCACTTAAGTTAATTGCTATTTAGCTTGAATCCCCTTGGAGATAGATTGATTCACAGTTAATATGATAGGGTTTGCGCATTTACAACAGCAAACTAACATATCTACAGATCAAATATGGCAACCCACTTAAAACCTTGCTGCATAATCCCCTAATAAACACTGAATAGATTCCCTGTGGAGATTATGCGACAAGCATTCAAGTGGGTCTAGCTGACATATTCGATCCGTGGATCTGTTAGTCTGCTGTTGTGAATGCAGCCATGGAGACCTGACCATTGCACAAATCATCAGGATGATATTTAAAACTAAAAATAAATAAAGTATCAACGAATGCAATGTGTATGTCCACCATTTTGTATGTAATGTGAAAGGCATGTGACAGAAATATTAAGCATGTGAAAGCTGGTTCCCAGTGACTTGTGAATACTTTGAGTACTGAAGTAGATCACCAAAAACTGCTTTAAAAAATAAAAAAGGATCACTTAACAGTCAAATGCCTGTTATCTTCTACCAAAAACTGAAATAAGCTAGATCTATGTAAAATAAAATGTGTGACCAACGAAAATGATAACTACAAAATAAATGTTAATTAAAGAGAATAAAGAACTTAAGTAGACAGCTTCTGTCCCATGCTTCAGAAGGAAAAAGTTAAATGCTTGCCCAAAGCAGATTGTTGGTGAATTTCTAGTGACCCCAGATGGACAAAAGTGTCGACTGGTGGTGCACTGTGACCAGTGGTGGACTAAAGTGACCTCTGGTGGACTTAAGTGACCAGTGGGGGTCCATTGTGACCAGTGGTGGACTAATGTGACCCCTCGTGGACTAAAATGACCAATGTAGTCAATTGTGACCAGTATTGGACTAAAGTGACCCCTGGTGGACTTTTGTGACCGAAGATGGTCCATTGTGACCAGTGGTGGACTAAAGTGAGCCGTGACAAGGTATTAAATATAACTCACCCCTCCTGGCACCTTTGCAAGTACCTGGGAATTAAGTTGTGGAAGTGGAAATTAAACAATGTCAATCCTAATGTATTAAAACCAATCTCTGGATTCCTTAATCATTCCACACTTGAACTTTTGATTACAAAATATTGTTAAATAATGATTTTTATTCGAATGCTCAATGATCTGACAAACTCAGTCAAAAACTTTATATATGGTAGTTAATCATAATTTTGGTGCAGCTGCCACATTTTTTTGATAAAGTTTTATTCTCTTACTTTGACATTTATTTATTTATTTGCTTTACTTGTAATATTCAGCTGATATAAAAATCATAATATCATCATGTTTAAAATGCTTGTCAGACTGTATACTTTAAATTTAAAAAAGGAAAACACGTACTAACAAAATTATGAATCAGAAAATAAAAGAAAAAAAAGATGTCCACTGCACATCAAACAACTTAAAGTTAAAATAAATGCTGGTCCAAAGTCCTGATCAAACATCACAGCATGGGTTATTCCTGATACTTAGATGATCTCCTTCAATTCTATCCTTTCCTTGTTGTCTGTCATAAGGAAAACTGACTTTTTGCACTAAAAATATCAGCTAAGAATTGCTTCCTTAATTCCCCATGAGTAACTCCGACCTTGGATGTCCATATATTTCAGGCAACTCTTTCTCTCTCTCTCTCTCTCAACCGTCTCTCTCTCCAGATATTTAGCTGCCTCATCCTCGTTCTCTCTCTCTCTCTCTCTCTCTCTTTCTCTCTCTCTCAGCTGTAGCTCTCTCTCTCTCCGGATACTCACAGCTGTCTGTTCCTCTCTCTCTCTCTCTCTTTCTCTCTCTCTCTAAGCTCTCTCTCTCTCTCTCTCTCTCTCTCTCCAGATACTCACAGCTGCCTGTTCCTGGTTCTCCTTCTCTCTCTGCAGTTCCTCTTGGTACTCCTTCTCTGCCTTGGCCTGCAGCTCCCTGACGGCCATTCTCACCGCCTCCTTCCTGACCACCGAGTCTGGCAGCGACGGGGTGTATCGCACACGTACACAGCAACTCTACAGAGAATGCACACAAACAAAAAAATAAGACAAAATAACACAAAATGAGATCCACTCTTATAATGAACTAATTCATTCAGATACCAAAAAATGAAAAGAAGAATAATCAAAGTTCACAGGGCAGTTGACACTTTTAGCCTGAAATACTAAATCATAATAAAAGACATCAAAAATCATCAAAACAGAATAAAATAAGAAGATTGAAAGATTGTCTTGTGTACACACACAGATGAACTGTCGGAAGAACACCATACAAAACAGCCTAAGTAAAAATTAAGTATTGCTGTTTCACTCTAGTCTCACCGTCTCCATCTTGTCAGCTATCTCACTCTCCCTCAACTTAGGAGAGAAGCTCAGCACTACGCGGCATTGCTTCATAATAATAATTTTCATATAATAATTATTATCATTATTATTATTATAAATTTTAAAATAATAATATCATTTACTGTAGACAAGATAAAACAGTTCATTTTCCTTATGTCAAAGGTAAAAACAACATGTATAATACATAAAAATAATTCACTCATACTGCACAATGAGAGTTCACATAAGTTACGTTGTTGTTTTTTTTTCTGCATTTCTTCAGCATATATGCAATACAGGCATGTTTACCTGTATATACACACTGCCTTCCTTCCCACTGTATATCATACTCATACTTATATGCAGGGGCGGATCCAGAAATATTTTCTGACAGTCTTCCAAATCATCTTTGTTGATCCATCCTCCATTTCTGACCGTCTTCCGACAGAGTAAAATAAGATACCCGTCCGTGTAAATGTGAAAATCTGACCGTCTTCCGGAAGACCCAGAAGATGCCCTAAATCCGCTCCTGTATATGAGTCCACTTACTTTGCCAGGTTCCACAGTTCCCACAGCCGGGGACACAGTAAGGGGTGCTCCCTCAGGAACAACAAACTCAAAGGAAGTAGGACCAACTGGAGCAATGGCACCTAGAAATGGAAAGGGAGGGGTTCTCATTGACTGTGGATGTAGAGAGATAGTATGTGATTAGAACATCAATGTTGAGATACTTACTGTATTTGTCTATTCAAATAAATAAATAATTTTACCACTAGTATTCTATAAGGTATTCTAGAATTTGTGTTCAATTATAATTTTATTATTTATTATATTATTAATTCTTTTTTTTGTGCAAACTTTTGATCTTTTGAAGTTAAAAGGTGCTCAAAATACAACTGTTTCTTGAAATAAAGGAAATGTGAAAGAAAGAAAAAAAATTGAGAAGGCAACTGCCACAGTAACCATGGCAACCAGTGCTAACCTTTTCCAATCCTAGGCACTGGGTGCGTGTACTCGTTCATGCTGGTGTGAGAGTTGATCACGTGAATGGTTGCCGTGGAAACATCAGTAAGAGCAGTGGCCCGGAAGTGTATGATCTGGTTAGAAAGGTCCAGGGGAGGGTGGACCCCAATGCCAGTACAGGCAATCTTGAAGGACCTGGCATATCACGAAACATGAATGATCAATAAGCTAGTATATATATATATATATATATATATAT